GATCTCCTGACCTCGTGATCCGCCCGCCTCGGTCTCCCAAAGGGCTGCGATTACAGGCGTGAGCCACCGCCCCAGGCCTATTTTGATTTTTTTCTAGGGCTGGCTACTCTCATTGTTCACCTACTTCCCTATGATGGGGGATTTAGTAATAATTCTCAGAGCTTTGTCAATTCATTTCTCGTTTCCTGACAAGATTTTGTGATATTGTTGTATTCAAGAATGCTGCTAACTTGTACCTTACCAGAAACTGCCTTTTCATTCCCAGACATCACTTCTTTGGATTTTCTGTTCAGAGACTATAGCCTATTCCTTGCTTTGTTGGTACTGATTAACACTTTCGTACATTTTACTTTTTTTTCTACTTACCCACCGCCCCCCGCAAATTCTCTAGATATTGAAGAAGGGAGATCTTAAGATCTCCGATTTTCTCATTTTTATTTTAGAGATTCTTTACTTTCCTGTGAAGGTCCTTTTAAAAAAGAGAGATTTTAATGGGCTTGTTTGTGATTATTTAAAATGGTTAAGGAATCAGAACTGAATTTGCCCTCGCAAATTCAAAGAAACATATAAGGTGAGATTTGTAGTTTCCTATCTGTCAAGAATGTGTAAACAAAATGTGAGTCAATTAGTATTAGGGTATATTCATGACACCAGACGTTTTATACCAAATCATTGAGAGGATAGTAGTGTTGCCGTTAAGTGAGCACATGTCATTTCTAAATAGGAATGTTAAGAAGCCACGTGATGTTGACTAAATTCACTATTAAGTTTTCAAGCTTGTTGATGGATTTTTTCAAAGCACCAGAATTTTTATTTATTATCTACTTTTTTTCTGTTCTCTATTAATTTTAGTGGACATCTTTATTATTTTCTGTCTTGTACTTTTGTTTTACTTTGTTGTTCCTTTCTAGATTTTGAGTTGGAATTTAAACCAATTGTATTTTTTATTTTTTATTGATAGCAGATAGAAGAATATGTGTATTTTCTAATTATTACTTGAAATGATATAGGAGTTTAAAGCCATTTATTTTCATGTGATCATTTCTTTAACTCTTACAGATTCTGATATATAGTGTTTTATTGTCATTATTTTTCATAGTATTTTTCCATTCACTCGAAAGTTGGTTAGTTGAAAGCCATTGAGTGTATTATCACATAATGTTGATAATAGGTTCATTTTATAGAACTCACTAATGTCTTCTTTGTAACTCAATATATGATCAATTTTTGAATATGTTCCATAGATGACTGAGAAAAAGGTATATTCGTTATTATCAGGGTATAGTGTTTGATATATATCCATGAGATCTACTTTATTGATTATAGTGTCTCAGTATTTTATCTAGTTTTTTAGTTCACTTGCCTTATCTTATAATGTTAATATTGCATTATTATCATCTTTACTCCTCCTTAAATCCTCTACATCCTTACATCTTACTTTGTAGTTTCAACTTTACGTAAGTGGTACATGGATATTGATAAATGTTGTGTCTTCATTATAATTTATGAATTTCTAGTTTCATACAGTGTCTTTCTTTGTCTTGTTTGCTGCATTTTGGCCTGAATTCTGTTTTACATGATAATAAGATCTCAACCTCTGCACTCTTATTGATTCCGTACGCCTAACATACTTGCCAGTATCTGTATTTTTTACTATTTGGAACAAAACTAGTTGTATTTCTTGTACATTGTATAGAACTAGGCTTTGCTTTATGAGCCAATCTGAAAAAAAATTTAAAATAGGCTAGCTAAAACTTACTCATGTTTAGTGATATAATAGATATGCTTGATCTCAACTCTGCATTTTATTTTATAATCATTGTATATATTATGTCATATTTATGATATTTCTCCACTTGACCTCTGAGTTTTTAAATTTTCTTTTGGAATTAAGAAATTTTTGTATCATTGTTCTAAAGGTTTTCCTTTTATTTATAGTTTTTATAATGTCTAACTCCTGTTTCTCTTACATGACCATTGACTACCTGGTTTGTTAGTTTTAAATGGCATCCTTTGTTACCTATTACCTATACAAAAATCAATAATCCCATTCTGCTTTCCTGTTTCTCTCTCCCTTCCTTATTCATTAATTTTTAGTTTCATACTTTATACTGTCAGAAATATGACATTTCCGTAATATCTCTTCCACCAATGAATGCTCAATCTTCATTTTATAATTAATTATATTGAATAATTACCATCAGTCCTTTTGCTGAAGTTTCTCTAGTTATCTCTTGGATTTGATAAAAAGGATCTTATGTACTTCTCAGAGAGTCAAACTTTATGAAGCATTCCCTGAGTTCTTTCATGCTGAAAATTATAGGCTTGATACTTGAAAGACAGTTTAGCTGGATATAAAATCTTTGACTTATACTTAGAGTTTCTTGAAAGTAAACCTCTCTCTACTGTGGACTAACTATCTGTAATCATTGGCTCATGAATTATTATTTAATTCTATCTAGAAGGTTTGTATTTTAGTTTATAAAACACATAGAAGAGAATTTTGTCAATTTTTGGGCTAAAGTATTAGTTCTTTGACAGAGGAAGAGACTGAGGAGAGATATGTTATAGACATTTTTCCACATGTAAGGGTATATCTGGACTTACAAAATTTAAGTTAATTTAATCAAACAGTTGCTTAATCTAGAAAAGAATACATCTATCAATTATTTTCCCAAAATGTTACAAAATTAAACCAAAATGATCAAATAACTATAGCCTAATATTTTTAGAACTTTATTCACAGTGTTTTCTTATTTCATTTCTTTCAAAAATTACTCAACTATACTCTATAACAGTTGTTCTCAAAATGTGGTTCACAGACCTCCATGGTTCCCCGAGACTTTTTAAGTTCATAAAGTCAAAATCATTTTCAAAACACACTGAAATTATTTACCTATTTCACTTGGTTGACATTTATATTGATAGTGCAAAGTAATAGTGCATGAAAGTGCTAGGAACTTATTTCCAATTAAGGTAGAGGCAAGAAACTCTGCTTGTAGACACTTTATTTTATTTACCAACATGCTCTTACAGGGAAAAATATGCCAGTTTCACTTAAGGGTATCCTCAATGAATCAGTTCAACTGTTTAAAAATCTAAATCCTTCAGTGCATTTCTTTCTAATATTCATGTGATTAAATAGGAAAAATTCTTAAAGTGCTTACGACACATACCAAAATATAATGGTTGACTTAAGAAGTCTGAGGCTGCAGTGTGCCATGATCAGGCCACTGCATTTCAGCCTGAGAGACAGAGTGAGAACCTATCTCTAAAAGGAAAAAAAGAGGTGAAGTGCAGTGTGGCTCATGCCTGTAATCCCAGTGCTTTGGAAAGCCAAGGCAGGAGGATTGCTTAAGGCCATGTGAGGCCAGCCTAGCTAGGCAATATGGCAAGACTCCATCTCTACAGAAGGAAGGAAGGAGAAAGAAAGAAAGGAAAGAGAAAGAAAGAAAGAGAATGCAGCTGCCTTCTATTAAGCCATTCACTAATGAAATTGTAAAAATATAAAAGAGTATCTCTATTATATTTTTGTTTTGGAAAATATGGTTATGTTCATTAAAACATTTTCATTAAAGCAGTTATTGTCATTTAATTTGATTAATAAATATTTTTAAATATCTACTTTGGAATTTTAATTAAAAATTAGAAATTTTATATTTCTAATATTGGTAGTTATCCACATAAACAAACATTCTTTGAAGACCCTCAATTTCTTTGAGTGTAAAGAATTCCTGAGATCAAAATGTTTGAGAATAAATTATCTACAGCCATGTTTAAAGACCTTCAATAGATTCCTATAGATTTAAAGGGAAAAAACAAATTCTTAACATGGCTTCAATTTCCAATATGTTACAATCTCATAGGCATTTATTTCTCATGTTATGTTTCCTTTTGCGAACACACTGTTCCTTCTCTCTGGAATGTCCTCCCTAATCCATCTCACCTAATTAACTCTCATCCTTCTGGTTTCAGCTTAAGCAGCACCTCCCTAGATATCTGCTCCTTTGTTTTAGCCTCCATTGAAACCATGCTTCTGTACTTCAGAACCTTTCCTCTTTTTATAGTTATATATTTATTGATGGAAATATTTGATTAATGGTTTTCTTCCCAATAGATAGAAAAACCATGAAACTAATAAGCACCCACGTTTTGGCTTATCATTATATTCACTCTTCCTAGCAGAGTGCTTAGCACAGAGTAGGGTGGGAAATAAAATATTTGTTGGAGAATGAATAAGTGAATTAATGCATGAATTGATATAGAGTCGTATCTCTTGATAGAGTCATATCTTTGTGAATTGATACAGTCATATCTATTACTTCTTCTGCCCTAAAAGTCTACAGTTGAGTAAAATTGATCTACATGCATTTCTCCATACCTCCCTTGTTACTAAGCTATCATTATATTTAACATACTTTGGTGTAAGCATCGGTATATTTATCAGTCTGCCCATAAGATTGTTCACTCTTTAAGGGCTTTAAGGGCATGGGACTGTATTTTATTCATATCTAAATAAATGAATCTGTGATAAATTTTGGGTATTTTATTCATCCGTGAATAAATTTATTCATCTGTGAATAAGTACACAGATGAATAAAATACAGTCATAAGATATTTAGCACTTAGGATGTCATAAGATATTTAGCACTTGATAAACAGTAAATGAATGTATGAATGAATTATTGAACTAAACATTTCATATATGGCATTACATACTTCTTTACATTTTTATTAAATTCTCCCAGCTAAAACTCAGGTAATGGGAGAAATAAAGATTGCACTGAAGAAGGAAATGAAGACAGATGGTGAACAACTAATAGTTGAAATTCTCCAATGCAGAAATATTACATACAAATTTAAGTCTCCTGATCATCTACCAGGTATCTAATTTTATTATAGTCATCAATATATCTAGAATTTTTTAGGGATGTGTCATATATTCTGGAAAATGTTAACTAAAATTTGAACTGTACACTAAATAGGTCAGAAAAAAGAACTGATTAACATATGTAACAAGTTGTTTTCTTTCGGTTTTTAGCTAGATATTTTAACATATACATTAGCGTGTTATATTCATTAGACAGCAGAAGGACAAATTTAAATTGCTAAGAAAATAGATATATCAGCTAGATGTGGTCACTCCTGCCTGTAGTCCCCACTATGTAGAAGACTAAAGCAGAAAGATCACTTGAGCCTAGTAGTTTGAGGTTAAGTGAGCTATCTGGCCACTGCATTCCAGACTGGTGACAGAGTAAAACCCTGTTTCAAAAAAATAATAAATAGGCATATCTTTTAATCATTTTATGTTGTCTGAAACAAATTGTTTACAATCTGCTGGCTTGGTACAAAATGTAGGAAGAACTCTCAGTATACTGTTATAATTCTTTCAATAGAAATTTATACAATTGATGGAATTTAATAGGCTGAATTCTTATTTTCAGATTTATATGTGAAAATATATGTGATGAATATTTCTACCCAAAAAAAGGTGATCAAGAAAAAAACAAGAGTATGCAGACATGATCGAGAGCCTTCATTCAATGAAACTTTTCGATTCAGTCTAAGTCCTGCAGGACATTCCCTTCAGGTAACTCTGTATTATGTAGTTGATATATAAAACTTCTCATTCATGTTGTATTTATTTTTATTCCATTATTCAATATTTATATACTGATCATACACTATATAACATTTGAGAAGTTAATTATTTTTTAGCAGTATCTCCCCAGGAGTCTTTTAGAATTCCACAGCCCATTCACCTCATCCAATCAGTTGCCAAGCCTTCTCTACTCTATCTGCAGTTTATTTTACATAGATTCCTCTTATTTCCATGCTCACTGCCACTAAACATTTTTGGGTCCCCATCTTTGTTATTCAAATCATTTCATCTGTTTACCTGGCCAATTGTAATTTATGTCTTATCCGTTTAGTTCATTTCATCACAGCACTGCCACAGTTACCTTTTAAAACCCTAGTTAGTTTACATTAAACTTGTTAGTTTACATTAAAGGTCTTCAATTATCTTGAATCATTATCTTGAATCATTCAGAGTCTTCCAAAGTGAGTTTTAATTGGATTGACTTAGTCTCAGCTCCTTGGATACTTTTCCACTCAATACTCCAGTCACAACAGACTCTCTTCAAGTTATGTTAAGCCTCCAATCCTTTGCTCATATTTTTCCGCCCTTCAAAGCTCCCTTTTCCAACTCTCACCATCTATTACAATACTCCACATCTTTCATCTCTCCTTACTGATGACCCTGGGTATAATTCATCATACTGTATTCACAAAACATTTTGCTTTTATTATTAGGTTACCAATTTCAGTCTGTCTTGTAACAACAATATCTGTACTTATCTGTCGTTGCTTCTATGCTATCAGTTTCTCTAGGGCAAGGCCTAATTTTCATTGCCTACAGCCTACACAATGCTTTGCACATAGTAGGTCTTCAGGAGATATAGAGACAAGGAATGAAAGTAGAAATGGGGGAATGAGAAAAGAGAAAAAAATGTAGGAAGAGACCATGGTACAGGAAATTAAAGGTTTGAATTAGAGACAAAGATAAAAGATATTACAAAGCAAAAATGTATTGAGAAGATTAACTGATATTAGACTAGAAAGGAATAAAGAAAAAATGACACTCTGAAGTCTGTGTCAACAAATGTATTATTTCACAGAGATTACGTAGTCAGGGGATTTGGAATAGAGAAAGATCAAGAGTTTTTCTGAAATGAATTTGATAAGAAGGCAGAGATTCAAGTGAAAATACACAATGTCATTTGAAATCCCTGAATCAGAAATCAGAAGAGACAGTCATATCTGGAAGTACAAATTTTGAAGTCAGAAGCATAAAAGTTAAGTTTTAGCCAGGAATAAGGGTAAATTATATAGCCAAAGGAGATTCTGAAGAGAAAAAGAGAATACAATTACAAGGATTAATGCTTAGCTCCACTGAATGCTCTCTACCTTTCCTTCAACTCATCTTTAAAATGAAAAAAAAAAAAATTCTTTAGTTTGAGACCCTTGTGATAAGTTCTGCATATGACTTCAAAAAGCAGTTTGGAAGTACATACTGTAGTAAAATCATCAGAAAATTTAACACTAAATAAAAACAATGCCTGGTGAAGTTATATTTATTTGTTCAGAATTCAGATAATCTTTTATTTGATTTGGCTTTGTGTAAACTAGTAAAAAATTATTTGGCAAAGTTATTTTGTGAAACTTTCCATCAATTTAAGCATAAACTTAGAATTGGCTGGTTATACATTTCTTACCTAGTATTCTCATTTTCTTCAGAATGTGTCTTTTCCTTTGCAGAATAATACAAATGTTGATGTGAATTAATTTATATTACATGCAAATCTTTGGAGAACACCTTGATTATTAGTTCTCCTGCAATTATATCTGCTACTTCTACTCAGCGTCACCCTCTTTTGTGCTATTTTTTTGATGATTAAATGTTCTTAAAAGAGGTTGAAAACTGTACACATATATACGTATATAAATTAAATATGTTTATTTTTGACTATTTTTTCTAGATTTTACTTTTCTCCAATGGAGGGAAGTTTATGAAAAAGACCTTGATTGGTGAAGCCTGTATCTGGCTTGACAAAGTGGATCTCAGAAAAAGAATAGTCAATTGGCACAAACTTTTGGTCAGTCCTACTCAAACGCATTGAAGAAACACGTCTTCTCAGGGTATAGAAACTGCTCTAAATAGCCTCACATCAAGACTACAGTTGGAAACTAAGCTAAGTTTTGAGAGGCAAACGTAAGAATGGGAACAACAGGCAAAAACATGCTTAATACCTTGTACATTTATTGTTGTGTATGTATCACACAAAGATATTCAATTGAAAAAGTTCACATATTGAAAATAAAAAGGAATGGAGTTCTGAGACCTTGAATTTCCCATGGCTGTGAAGAGAAACTGTGAAACAAATTTTGATTACTGAAGGCAAAAATCTTTGAGCAGAGTTGAGCTATAACTTAAGACAGAGGCTCAAAGGTTAATGTGGTTTCCATGTAGCACAAAGGTAATTCTTTATGCAAAGAAGCCTTGGTTGAAAGGAAAGAACTGATGTAACAAATCTCAGTTTTCAAAACTTCAAAAATCTTCCTTCATCATCTTCTATTCAGACAACCAGATGCTTTCAGATTCGGACATAAGATATACCTACAATATGTGTCCAGGACTGGAAGTGAGGTGGCTATATTCTTAGGGAAAATGGAATAGGAGATGTACAAATTATGCCTTTTAGGCCATATCTTACCAGTTTTCTGTGTGTCTAAATGTTACAAGGGTATACAACACTGACTTTGGAATCCATGTGGTAATAGCACATTTGTTTCAGTGTAACTTGAAATAATGTAGAGTGAAGATAATACTAGGTAAAAATAAAATTGAATTTATCTAGAAATAAAACTGTGACTGGCTAACAAAGAAGAATGTTGTCCCATAAAATACTGGAATTTTGTTTGAAACCATCAAAATCTTCATAATTTACCATTAAGCCAAGACATCTTCAATCTATGTACCAAAGGACCTAGAGTAAACTGATATGTTCTAGGAAGCATGATAACTTACTCTTTGTGAAACTGCAAATAAATGTATTATTCTGCACATTTCCTTTCTCTTGCGTGATGCATTGACAGAGAAAGAAAATTCTTTATCTGGCAAACGAACTATATTAATCTTGTGATACTGATTAATTAAATGGATATCATTTCCTCATTTCATAATATTTTACCCTTTTTTTTCCTTAATGAGTTAATTCATTTACTGATTGTATCATGAAAACATGACACTAAATGAGTTCTTTCTAGTGCTCTATTTTCTTACTTTAGTGACAATATCACAGTGATCAAGTTCATCAATGTTGGGAAAATATGTGAAAAGTCAACACTTACCGGAGATTAAAATATACTTTGAGCTATTTTAATAATAATGAATAAAACAACTAATGTCCCAGTCTTAAAATCAAGCACCCTCTTCTCTATTAGCATTATTAATTAAGGAAGTAACGTGAAAGTTGTGGAAAACACACTCAGCAGGGAATAAAAGCCTGTCTTCTGGTCTTAGTTCTGCCACTGACTATGTCACCTTGCACATGTCACTTAAACTCACTTTACCCCAGTTTTCTTATCTGTAGGATAAAAATAATTATATATCCTTAACCTTCCAAATGAGATGTTGTGATGATAAATCAATGATCCATGAGAGATGAAAGCACATTTCCAAATACAGTTTTATACACAGAAGTGAGGAATAATTATTACATAGATTTTTAATTCTCAAATTTGATATGTGGAAACCATCATCTAAACCAATGGCAAGGATTGACATGGATAAAAGCAGTAAATTAGCTGCAAAACTTATTTTTTATTTAAAATATAAACTTTAACCTGAATAAAGGTGAAGAATTACATGAAAAAGATTTGCAAATTTTGTTATCCTCAATTAAATGAATAATGCTGGTCTTACCCAATTCCTACATTCTACCCAAAATAAATAAATCAAATTGCTTCTTAGAGCATTCTGAACTTAAAACTTTCTGCTTTATTTAATGGTGAAGTGTTAGTGGGATTAGAGAAACCCATCTCTAGATATTGGTTGGATATTGAATTTTCTCATTTTTAAAGAAATCAGTTTTATATATATATATAAAACTTCAGAATATAAATTCACTCTTCTACAAACTGAGAAAGATAACCATAACTTTTCTTCCCTCTATTTTTTAATCCCCCTCCACTGACAGTACAATGTCATTTACCATTGACATTGCTCTAAAATGAGCATGGGAGAGTGGAATCATCAAAAACATTATATTGCTAGTATTTTATTTTTAGAAACTATTAGATCTGCTGATGGTTGCCATGGATATTTCCAGCAGAAACTAGCACTTGAAGAAGCCTATAATCATCACTCATAATTGGGGAAGAAAAGGTCCAAGAAGATCTCCTTCTGACATAAAAAGGCTCTGATATTTGCCCTTAAAAGAAAACCCTGACTCATCTCTGATCCTCTTTTGCAGCCACTCATATCCAGAGGTATGCATGAGAGTTTGTATAACCAGTTAGTTTTCTTCATTCCAGTTGCAATTTCTTTTAGAATAATATAAATGGAGGGATCACCAAAACAAAGATTATCTCTTTGGTAGCTATTTAACCTGAAAGAGTAGGAGTCCTTCCATTATAGAAGCCCCTCCGTTCCAAGGAACTAGTGATGGGGCTAGGTCAATCAGCAGAGCTGACAACAGGGCTTCTTTTTGTGCACCAGCATTCCCCTTCAGAGAGCATAAGATCCTGCCAGTGTGCCAAGTTTGAAGCTGACCAAACTTCTAGGTTGTACTGGAATTATTCTATGCAACACTGATCCTTATATGAATGCGTTTCTTCTGAATGATGTCGATTACCCTTCTTACAACAAAACTGTTTCTTTTTTATTGCAAATAGGGCTCTTGGTGTTTTTTACTTTTTTGTACATATCACAGTACATGGTTTTTCACTCTTTAGTTTATTTCATTTTATTGGAACTAACTTTTTTTTATTCTAATACTGACAGAGTTTGTAATCTCTATATAATACGTAATTACTCCAATTACAGCACTTTTACCTTGAAGAGCATCTCAATTTTTCCCACAATTTCATTGAGTCATCAGAGACTGATGTTGCTTCTTGGTTTAAAAATTGGTCCTAAGGAAACTTTCAGCTGTAGAAACAAAAGCACAGAGTGAATTTTTACAAAAGACAGGGAATATAGAATAGTCATTATAGACACAAATAACCCTAGTAGCAAGAAGTTGGTGTTTTCCCTGTTTTTACTTAAGATTAAGGAGATTTTTGGTGACTCTGAACCCTTTATTTATATTTCAGTTTAAAATATCAAGACTAAGGGGCATCAATTGTCTTTATTCCTTAATATTGCCCATATTTTAACAAATTACACTAATTAAATGCATATTTTCAGCATACCAGTGGAATTAATTTTGTGGATCACACACATTTAAATAGTCATATTGTGGGAATATTATAGCTGGTAACCAGCTGATATTGATTCTTATTATAGGAACGACTGTAATGATAGTGGTGGTAGCAGTAGTGATATTAGCGGTGGTGGTGATGTGAAGTAAAATAAAATTATATATTATATTGTGCCCAATTTATTAGAAATTATTTGATCAATGCTTCATTTCATCAAAATACCATAAAGATGTTTATAGTATTTTTTTACTTTATTATTTAAATCATAACAATATTTTTAAAAACTTATTTTCATTGCTACAATGTCAAATATTCCAAAATCAGCCAACTACAGCTATATATGTGTTATGTGTGACAGAAGTGATCTTCCTTCCCTCTTTTTGAGCTTGAAATGAAAGTGAAAGAAGACTCAATGAATAATTATGAGCTATTTATTTAATAATTACTTACCTTGGGTGTAATACAATAATGAATGAGTGAAACAAATATTCTCATTGAATATGATACAGTGCTGTTTTCTGTATGTTTCATGTTCTATTATTAAAGGTATCCATTAAGCCAAAATTATTTAATCAAATTCTTTATCTGATAGGTAGATTGAGAGCATTTTCTTAATTCATTACCTTGTACATAAGTATACATTTGGTAAAGTAGACCAAGTTGAAATGTTCATTTCATTTGGCATTCAGCATGTGAATATGATTATTGTTTGATTGTGTCTGTATATTTGTTAGGTGACGTGCTCAGGTGCTCCCACTACTGATTAATGTGTGTGCTAATATCCTAACAACACATATGAGGTTTAAGAAAAAATTTTCTTGTCTGAAAACATAAACACCTTAATAAAACTGATTTTGAAATAAAAACTAAAGTACTTGAAGATATGTCTTGTTTCTGACTATATGTTGCATGCCATGTTGGTGATTTGCTAATGTGTTTTTTTGTTTGTTTTACCCAAATCCCTTTGGAAAATCTAATAGACAAATGCAAATTCTTGGACGAAGGACTGTATAAATTGACCTGAAAATAACATGAGAGTTGTATTTAAAAAAAAAAAAATGCTTGTAAATCCATCTTGAGTTTTACTCTATGTAAAAATATGTCTTGGTTTTGTGATTGTATACAAGATGTATCTTGATAACTTATGTAAATTGTGCCGTATAAAGGCTGTTGCCTCAGCCTTACTAATAAATATTGAAAATATCACCTTTGACTTCTTGTGTTTATCAACTTGATAAATTCATCCTTAATATAAAGATAAAACTTTTCAGGACATCTTCTCTGAAAATTGTACTGTAAATATATTCACTCGCCCAGTTTTAAAATTGTATTGTAAATATAGCAGAGTTACAGGAAACAGAATTAAACAAATGCATAGCTTCATAAATGATCGGATGTCAGACATTCTTATAACCACCACCCAGGCCAAAAAATTGAACTTTGCCAGCCATCTCATAAGTCTTCCATTTAACCCATCTCTATCACAACTCACTCCCACCCTTCTAAATGTAACACTATCCTGATTTAATGATAACAGTTTCTTGATTTATCACTCACACAGCCCACAAAACGCTAGTGTAGTTGTCATGTTCTATTTTTAATATTTTTCTAAGAGTCTTTTAATTTACATATTCTCCTACCCCTTCCTTCTTTTTCAGTGAGTCTCTCAAAAAACAAACAAACAAACAAAAAACAAACAAACAAACCAGAAAAAAAACCACTTGGTCTTTGCACCTGTAAGATTCCTTGCAAACTGGGTTTTGCTCATTGCATACTATAGTGTAGTTAACAAGTTTCTCTGCCTCTGCGTTACTTGTACATTGGTATTTTTTTCTATATGCCTGGTCCAAATCACGTTCAATTTCTTTGTCACAGGTTGGTCTTGTATTCCTGTACTGAGAGGCACATATGTCTGGTGGTCTCTTACTTTGTCCTGCTTGTGGCCACTGATGCTGAATCCCTAAAATATATTTATTAATTAATTAAATGTTGCAAAATGAGAATATTATATATCAATCATTATTTCTTCTTGAAATATTTAGAAAAAGATAAACTTCTTTTGAGTCAATATTTGGTTACCCCATGGTATAGTCTGTACAAGAAATCTAGGATAAAGGCAGAGAAAGCTGGACAATTTCCCTTTATTCGTTTACCATATTTCAAAATAATAGATAGTTCCCTACCATCCTCCAAAAATAATGAATTCCTTTTTGTTTTTACTTTTAATGTCATTATAAAACCAAAGATTGAAACATATTTAGTATAATTCTTTGAAGCTATTATTCATATTAATGCTCAGATTTACCCTTTTTGGCCAGTTAAGGCATATCTGAGGGGGCTTACATGTTTACTACATTCTTTGATACTCTCTTGCTATAACAAGTAAGTTATCTATCATTTTTTAACCTTAAAACAGTGTAAAAAACTAGTTGCTTTAAATTTTTATTTTTTATCTATCCATCTCTCTGCAATAATTAAATTTAGGAATGTATTGATACTGATTGATCAAATTTTATGTAATATACTTCTGGTAAACTTTTAAGGGCATTCTTAGGTGAAGTGT